TGGTTGGGATTGATCCTATACAGCATAGGTGGCTCCCCAATATTAGTTATTAAAAGATGCCAGTAATATTTTAAAGTGTCTTTATAAATTGCTCTGTAGAGTCTGATACATACTAAGCTAGTTACACAAAGCATACACAGTTGTGCCTATAAAACGTGTAAGCTCGTGTAAATGTTTTAAATACATTCTGGTAGCTTTCAAAAAAATAATCAGAATATCATTTAATATGTCTATTATATCATAAAAGATAAAAAAAAAATATAGGCAAAAGCAATAGCAACTGGATAGCTGAAACATGCAAATTATTAATATTTTAAATGTATAAATCGGTTTAAAAGTCAAGTAATTATCTAAAATCTACCTTTCTCTTAACTAGAGGCATTTAAAACACCAATAGCGACATAAAGCACTTGTACTTTATGTGACCTAGACTTATCTTACCACATTTTAGTACAGATTAACTTCCATGTGACCAAATAAATGTTTTTTGAGGGAGCTTTGAAAGCATATCCTTGGCAACCAATTGTTTTTGTATGCCGGTGAAAGCGCATTCGACGCAGATTCAAACCAAGGCAAGCAAAAAGGGGCTCTGAAAAGTTATTTTTTGTGACCAATGGTGTGTTAAAGTTAGCTCAACTCCCATCACCCCAAAGTGACTCATAGCCTCAGCAGTTTTGTGCACTTAGTATCTATTATTCATCCTAAACCACAAGGCTGTATCAGCCACGTGAAGCTGATGATCATCGCCATGTGCATTTTTGACAGCTGGTCACACGTTTCTTCTCACAGCTCAGAAATAGAAGGAACACAGGTTTAACACGATGTTTAAATACTCATTTATCTTTCCAAAAGCCATTGCGGAAAACGCGTACTAAAGGCGCTACTGAATACTGCATGTACACAATAATATCCCACTAACAAGGTAATAAGGTTCTGAAGCTCTTGTTTGCTGTGAAGTTGATTTGACAAAGAAGCACAATGTTATTCATGCCGTCTTTGAGAATGTTAATTTAAGTCTGTAATAATTTATGAGAAGCCTGCGTTTTCATTGTGCTTAGAGGTCAGGCTTACAGTCATACAAAATGCCTCTGCAGCACTTTCGAAGCTAAAACTGAGGAAGTTAAAGTCCTTTGGTTTTCTTGCTTTCTAAGCTTAGTGGAATACAACACAAGTTTCTCTCACAGTATATGGAGTGCATCACAGTTACACTGATGTGCAGCACTGCTGGAGGCGTTGTCCTCTGGAAGCATCTGGGATCAAATCTTGGCAAGCCCTTTAGATGCTTCTCGAGATAATGCAAACTGTCAGCATATTAGGAATTCAACATAACAGACATTTCATAGCCAGGAATACACGGCGACTTCCTGAGAATCTGTGTTAAATTAGAAAAACATGAAAGACCTTTCGAAATGCATGTGATATGAAGACACGGGGTTCAAAGGTTGTTTCAAGTACAATGCTTAAGATTTAGAATAAAATTACTACACTTGACTACACGTGTAGCAAACAATGAGCAACATTCTTAACCATCCTAAGATGGATATTAATAATATTCTCTAATGGAGACGGATGTCCTGTCAGGAGAAACGAGGGAATGCCGAGCTCTCGTCTGCCACACCGTATCACATGGATGTAAACAGAAGTGGATTGGAAAGCATGGCTGTCCTTAATTAATCTACTCAAAACTGTTGTACTAAACATTTTGAGATCAACGGATTAAAAAAAAAAAATGGATAACTTCACTCGTGCATATGGCTGCAATGTGAAATATGTCTTAGTCTGTTATAAAAATCTGTCGGTCCATGGAGTATTAGAGCACATAATTCTCACAAGATAAATCTGGCAACCAGCCTCTGAAGACCATATTTATCACAAGACTCTGGATAGCAGAGTTTGCAGCTGCAACATCAATGTTACACAATAGTGTCAGATCACAAAAAAAAAAAATTGTGTAGAACAACGTGATTCAAGTTTTACCTTAAACTTCAAAACATTAAACGTTCCGTTATGAAAAATGGAAGGCAAGCAAATTCTCACATTTGACAAACTTTTTTACCTTTCAACAAGAATTTAAATGATATATCCATGTTCAGAGTTGCTGGTTTCCCATTTGATTCTCATTCAGAGTCAATGGATCAATCAAGTGCTGATCAGTAGTTCTACCATTAAATATTTGGGGAGCTTGGACTCTGCTAAAGCAAGTAGGATACTGACAGAAACTCACAACTCCATGTAAGCCAGGAGTTTGTTCAAATGCTTTACAATTCTTGCAAGCAATGTGCAATTAGGAATATAGAGGTGGTTGTTTTATTGCCAAAAGCTAATAAGCAGCGTAATGGCTGTTAGTAATATTTTCCTGCGTGTACATGGCGCTGAGGCTTTAGCTCAACTCAATACTCTCATTGTAATACCTACAATCAGCGGCTTAGCAGTATAAAATAAGTTTCCTTTTGGAAAGGATTTCCAGCTCTGTGGTTGTGGTCTAACTTCTGTAATTAATATTTCCACAACACGCCTCCTCTCTTACTCGCTGACTGTTTAAATGGATTGTTTGAAAAGCCAACACTGGGATACCAGTGATCTAACAAAAATCCAGCCGTGGTTGTGAAGTTACAATTCAAACCAGTGCAAAAGGTAGTAGTAAGTTTACATTTCAGTGAATGGTTGGCGTTAGTATGATCACACTGATCTCTGTATGTTATTCACTTGGCACTAAGCAAAAAACACTAGACTGCCTTCAGTATTTACTTTGCACCAATTTGCAAATGAATGAGGAGTTATGTGCAAGTGGGATGGAAATGAATAATTCAAAAAGAGCACTTATGAGGGTTAGATTATGCGCATCTCGAGAAATCAACTTTGCTTGGTAGTACATTTCTGTACACGCATGAAGAACAAAGTCATGGATTGTACCAAAAGCCAACAAATTACCATAAAACTGTGCAGGGATTCTTTCATGAGCAGAGTTGTTGGACTGCTTCATGCTGGTCTAACATTTGAGATCTTTGAGATGCAAAGTTAACAACTGTTGACGCAAGCCAGAGGGGAGAAATATTAAGTGCAACTTTACAACAAAAATAAGGGGGCAGAGAAAGAGTGAGGTCTCTGTGCAGGCATGTCATACATGCAAGCTTGCACTCAAGTTACCACCTCGAAGGAAACCCTGAGGCCAAGCTGCTGGATGCTCATAAAGATGGTCGTTTGATTTCCGTGGTTCTCCACTTTCATTGTTATGGAAAGGTTCTGTAAACACTGGAAGAATACCTTCCAAACACATGTAGGGAAACCTGCTCCTTTTTAAGCTTTTAGGCCATCCACAAATAGGTACTCACCATAACAAACCAAACAACCCCCCAAAATGTGCAGGATCTTTTAAATATTGAGATAACTCAAGAAATAATGGGAATTTTAACTAAAAACTACTGCGTGAAGAAACAAAACTCAAAGGGCACCCACCTTATTCCTTTTGGAGGTATGTTGAACAGACCTGTGGTGTTTAAATCCATCCACAATGACTTCTATGAACATTTAAAGATACATTTTTTCCTTCTGTCACCTTTGAAACTGACTTAATTCCAAAGACAGATATGAACAGTGTTAGTTTTCAGTTATCATCGTGTTAGTTTATTATCATGTAACAGGGCAAAAAAGAAGCGCATAATTTGCATTGAAAACTAGCCCTGTGGTATTTAAATCAAGTTTCCCCTTCCTGATACCTTTCATCTCTAAATGTATGCCTGATGTGGTTTGGGCTTGTTTTATTGGATGTCATTCAGCATTTTTTGATACCCAAAAACTAGTTGATCCGTTTTTTCCCTCCTCATTAATACTTGCAACAACTTGAAGACTGCATTTGCATGTGGGTCTGCAGCATGTATTGTGCTTATAAGCTGTCGTGGCAATTGTGAATTTAAGTGTACTTCACAAACCCTGGATGTTCAAAGGTTCAGCTGCACTTCAAGTGATGCAACAACACATGACTGTTAGCCATCCTGTTACTGTAACTTCAGTCTTTATAAAAGTTATTTTCCGCTGTGTATTGTAACAGTTAAGATGTTATGGCTGGTATTATCTTTACAAGTGCTTCAATCACTTGCACAGTAGGCAGTGTCTTGGCTCGCAAGACATAGGAGCTGCTGACTAAGAAGCTGCACCACAACCAAATAGGGTGAGATATTTTTTTATGAGCCCATGTTTCTCCTGATAGCATGAACTGCAAAAACACGTTGGCTAGTTGTAAATTAATAGTAATCACTATCTATCTATTTTCCCTCCATATATATTAAATCTGATGCGGCTAAAGACCTACACAGTGACAAGACAGGAAGTAACACTTTCAGCAGCAGTCTATGGCAGTGACGCTGCAACAAACGTGACATAAGGTCATTGGAGTACACAAATGAGCTGCCGCTTTTCAGTTGAGTCACCTGCATACGGTCTGTTTACTAAGGTGTAGTCTCATTACACCAACAAACAGCGCTGGATCAGTGATGTGCTGTGCTTCATGCAACAATGTACCGCACTCAAATCACACGCTTCTCATTTTCGAAACTGTCCAAATGACCACGGAGGTGCTCAAAAACCTGCAAGGTGTCAAGGCGGGCATCTTGCCCGCTCTGCACGTCTTGCATAATTTGTTCATGCTGGTGTATTCATACACTGGGCTCGAACGGCTGGACATGCATGTTAACCCAGCTGCGTGTCTCCCATCATTCAGGCACAGCACATGACTGTTTGCACCCCCAAAACAACCGAGGTGAGACTGAATTATTGGGCATCAACACTCCGCGCACAAAAAAGCCGCATCTTGCCCGGCTCGACCGCTGGACCGCACCGCCAGCTTCAGTGCGGCAGCGTCTGTCACCACTGATAAACTTGTATGATTGAGTGATGCGATCATGCGTGCAGACGGCGCTAGGACCACGCGGGAGTTTGATCGGATATCGAGCCGATTTTTCCTTCTAATGATGCGGGCGGCGTGGTAAGCCGGGTCTCCTTACCTGTCTCCGCCTCGGTCATGATTTGCCCGCTTGCGCTCTAACATTGAAATTCCCATGTTTCACACACCGGTAATGCCCATCCATGTCTCACAATCCAGTCGCTTCTCCAAGGTCTGCCTGTCCACGGACCATGCGTGTTGTTTCCACACCACTGAGAGGGGCGGAGCCCACGGCCCTTGGAGACGGAGTACAAGTGGATCATGAGAATGCCACTTATGTTTTCTCACAGCCAATCGGCTGTGCAGCTTCGAATCGGCGTCCAGTGACTTTGTCCACTAAATGTTTTGGTGTACAAAAAGAAAATAATAAGAACCGGAGACCATAAAAAAGATCTCTGCGCATTTCTCCTTATTGCAGAATGCTTGCGCGTCTAGCGCCTGGAGGTCTTTCGGTGTAAGCAAATCTATGCGAGGTGATATGTGCTGGAGACTGAACTCGGTTTAAGCAGTGTAAGCAACCATCAGTCATTATCACTGTCGAGATTTCATAGCTAAAATCTGCAAATTCGTGACCAGTTATAATAAGACAGGCGCCAAGGTATGAAACAAACTCCTTTAAAATAAATATCACAGGATCTGCGTGCGCCTTTCCAAAGGTTCCTGAAATTTCTGTTATGTTAAACCCCCTCATGCAGGACAATTTATTAACAAAATAAGTTTGATCAACAGAAATACATCACATGATCAAATGGCAGTAACTCTTCAATATTCACTCCACATGATCCTACAAGGTGTGACCTTAGGAAACAGGGTGTACTCTACCCTCTACTGGCAGGAATGAAATATTCTTCACATGACAACCTTTTTTTTCCATGTGAAGACTTAAATATCAACGTAGTACAAAGGCAGTCTACTAAAAACAAAATACCAAAAATGTTATATAATTTGCTTCCATACACAAAACTCTGATAAAGGAATATGCTCAAAAATACAGACATTGCCTTTGTTTGTACCTGCATCTACCAATTAAAGACTCAACCATAAACTCCACAACTTTTAGGTATACAAAAAAATAACAAACAGCTACAAGCAATTACATTATTTACAGCAACAAATCTCTTGGTTGATGAACTTAAAGAAGTTGGTATCACATCACAAAATAGTGTATTCCTTTTCATTTTGGACGCTAGGAAAGGGATCTGGTGCAGTGACAATTTTAAACAGTTTTTTTGATGCACCACTCACAGATAACAGCAGTCTTTGTCACAGTGGTTCCACATAAACCCCGCTCCTTTCCATAGGTTCATTAGTCCTCTTGCATTTACCACCTCCCTCTGTGAAAAGGTGGACACCCAAATCCAGGCCTCGCATTTCGGAACTGCCTTCCTTCCCTGTCATTTATGCTCTCGGGTCCCATGGAAGGATGTCGATGGAAAGGGGGACCGCGAGGAGGGAACGGCATGGGCATTCTGAACCTGTCTGATGGAAACATGGGTCCTCCTGGAATCATTTGCGGGGGCATTTGTGACATGCTTGGAGGTGAGAGGAAAGGAGGCATATGATGATTTGTCATGCCGGGAGGCGGTTGCAGAGGTGGCATACCCGGGCTGTGTCCCTGCATGATAGCAGGGCTCGGCAGGGTCATTACTGGTGATGTGGGATGCCCCAGCTGGTTGGCAGTCATGACATCAACAGAAGCACCTTTCTTTCCTTTAGGATCTTCTGTGGATATCTCTGGAGATTTTATACTTCCTGTTGCAAAAGAGTTTAAGATAAGGTTGTATTGATTTTCAAACAGAAATGAAGTATAATTGCAGCAGGGAAAAAAAGAGAAAACATTTAAAGAAATGCAGCATAGATTTTTACTAAATTTAAACACAATCTACTTTGACTGCCTCTGAATCTTAGGTTTAGATAACAGATTTTAAAATCCATAGCATTTAGCGAAGATTTCTCACCGGCTGCCAACTTTGTTGGATCAAACTCTGTGGGGATGAAAGGAACTCCTGCTGGAGGCATGGATGTAGGAGATAGCATAATAGGGCTTGGGAAGACAGGCGAACTTCCGATGAGTTCTGTCTGTTGAACTGGTGGTAACTGGAAGACAAAGAAATATAATGGTATCCTTAAAATTAATGTAAATGAAAAAGATAATCTTTCTGATGTGACCTTAAAGATTTTTTTTAAATTCAATTCAATTTTACGTATATAGCGCCAAATCACAACAACAGTCACCACAAGGTACTTGCTGTTGTATGGTAAAGACTCTACAATAATAGAGAGAAAACCCAACAATCAAACGATTCCCTTTAAGCAAACACTTGGTAATAGCGTGAAGGAAACACTCCCTTTAACAGGAAGCAACATCTGATTCTGGTTCAGCATCTTCTGATTCCATAGCATAATGTTGCTCATTGATAACACCCACTGGTATTTTTTTGATGTCACTTGAAAAAAAAAAGTTTTTAATTGGTATTTTATTTTACAGCATTCCTCAAAGTTTTCATTAATTCACAGAAAACTGAGTTCTCTGCTGCTAATCACACAATATCAAACTGAAATAAACATTAAAGCTGTTGCAAAAGGTTAAAAGGTTGGCATGTGGCAGATGTCCACAGATCAACAAGAGGCTAACACCTTCACCTTGGAAAGTAGATTGCACAGTAGATTTAAGCACTGTATTTGTTTATTTGCAATACAATTTTTGAAATTGCACCAACGTTTGGTCAGGTACCAGTAAAATATGACTTTTATGTCTTTAAATCTGCTAAAATTCATCCCAGTCTGATTTATGATCAAAGATATGAAAGGCATCAAAGTGTGCCATGTTGACATTTAGGCAATCATTTACAAGTCAGTAATCATTTTAAGAGGAATCAGTCTCATAAAACTTTACCAGAAACAGAATAAGTTGGTTATGTGACACTGATTACAAAGAAAAAGACCACCACTTCTATGTGAACGAACTGAACTTTAAAGGGCATGGCATTTAAAAAAGGTTTTAGTTAGGAAGTTCAGATTTTAGACAAATGTTTTACTTTCAGGCCATTTTTAACTGAACTGAACCACTAGGACCTCGGATACCTTTTCCATACATGACAGCAGCTCTATATATACAGGGAGTGCAGAATTATTAGGCAAGTTGTATTTTTGAGGAATAATTTTATTATTGAACAACAACCATGTTCTCAATGAACCCAAAAAACTCATTAATATCAAAGCTGAATGTTTTTGGAAGTAGTTTTTAGTTTGTTTTTAGTTTTAGCTATTTTAGGGGGATATCTGTGTGTGCAGGTGACTATTACTGTGCATAATTATTAGGCAACTTAACAAAAAACAAATATATACCCATTTCAATTATTTATTTTTACCAGTGAAACCAATATAACATCTCCACATTCACAAATATACATTTCTGACATTCAAAAACAAAACAAAAACAAATCAGCGACCAATATAGCCACCTTTCTTTGCAAGGACACTCAAAAGCCTGCCATCCATGGATTCTGTCAGTGTTTTGATCTGTTCACCATCAACATTGCGTGCAGCAGCAACCACAGCCTCCCAGACACTGTTCAGAGAGGTGTACTGTTTTCCCTCCTTGTAAATCTCACATTTGATGATGGACCACAGGTTCTCAATGGGGTTCAGATCAGGTGAACAAGGAGGCCATGTCATTAGTTTTTCTTCTTTTATACCCTTTCTTGCCAGCCACGCTGTGGAGTACTTGGACGCGTGTGATGGAGCATTGTCCTGCATGAAAATCATGTTTTTCTTGAAGGATGCAGACTTCTTCCTGTACCACTGCTTGAAGAAGGTGTCTTCCAGAAACTGGCAGTAGGACTGGGAGTTGAGCTTGACTCCATCCTCAACCCGAAAAGGCCCCACAAGCTCATCTTTGATGATACCAGCCCAAACCAGTACTCCACCTCCACCTTGCTGGCGTCTGAGTCGGACTGGAGCTCTCTGCCCTTTACCAATCCAGCCACGGGCCCATCCATCTGGCCCATCAAGACTCACTCTCATTTCATCAGTCCATAAAACCTTAGAAAAACCAGTCTTGAGATATTTCTTGGCCCAGTCTTGACGTTTCAGCTTGTGTGTCTTGTTCAGTGGTGGTCGTCTTTCAGCCTTTCTTACCTTGGCCATGTCTCTGAGTATTGCACACCTTGTGCTTTTGGGCACTCCAGTGATGTTGCAGCTCTGAAATATGGCCAAACTGGTGGCAAGTGGCATCTTGGCAGCTGCACGCTTGACTTTTCTCAGTTCATGGGCAGTTATTTTGCGCCTTGGTTTTTCCACACGCTTCTTGCGACCCTGTTGACTATTTTGAATGAAACGCTTGATTGTTCGATGATCACGCTTCAGAAGCTTTGCAATTTTGAGACTGCTGCATCCCTCTGCAAGATATCTCACTATTTTTGACTTTTCTGAGCCTGTCAAGTCCTTCTTTTGACCCATTTTGCCAAAGGAAAGGACGTTGCCTAATAATTATGCACACCTGATATAGGGTGTTGATGTCATTAGACCACACCCCTTCTCATTACAGAGATGCACATCACCTAATATGCTTAATTGGTAGTAGGCTTTCGAGCCTATACAGCTTGGAGTAAGACAACATGCATGAAGAGGATGATGTGGACAAAATACTCATTTGCCTAATAATTCTGCACTCCCTGTATTTTTATAAAGTTTTTCATTCACTTTCAGTATCCGAGGTTTGAAGTTGCATTTGTCTCTACATACCCAGCGAACAGTAAAACACACACCTCTGAACCGGCATAAACAAAAACGTCAGATATGACACTTTTGCCAGACTGAACAGTTTAATCATTTCACTTACTTTTAAGAGAATTGTATTACATTTTACTTTAAACATACTTTAAGAAGTTTATAGTGCAGTAAATAAAAATCAAATAAAAGGTTGCATGGAGGATGTCTTCTTTGACAACACAATTATTATGTAGGAGTAATGGATAATAGTTACTGATTTGTGAATAATTGCAAATGAATAACTTGAGCTTATATTACAGTTTTATACTACAGTATATTTCTAACTAAATCGTCAGCTCATTCTTTTTCTCTAGACAATATTTTCTTAAAATATATCACAAAATTTGGGTTAACTTGAAAAAAAAAAAAAAGCAGATGTTGAATGTAAAAATTAGATCAGAGGTCAAATGTAACATGATATTTGGATGCAAACTATAATGGGAGATTTAGAATCCCAAAATGTTGTCAGTGCAAACAAAGGCAGCAGAACTGTAAACACAGATCTAAAGATAAAAGACATTTTATGAAAGCTGACCTAATAAAAGCTTGACCTTATTTGACCTTGAAGAGAGGTCAGAGGTCAGAGTAACACGATATTTAAAAATCCCAAATATATTTTCCTTTATATTTATATGTTCACAACGTAAACAATGGCAGTTAGAAACAAAGTTTTATATAGCTCTATATAGCACTATTATCACTTTGGATCACTTTATTGAACTTGAAAGAGAGGTCAAAGGTCAATGTAACATGACATTTTAAATCTGTATAAGGTACTTTCTG